TTGACGACATCCTTATATTTGGACCAGAGTTCTGCATCCGACAGGAATTTCTTCTGTAAACCCATTAGTCTCTTAAGAGCAACTTTCCTATTACAAACTAACTGTCTATCTTTGAATCTCCATGGTAGGCCAACACTGAAACGCCCGTTTTCGTATTTACAAGAGTCCTCAACTATTTTAACTGCCTTTAAGTCTTCTACAGAACGACCCTTCTCTGGGACACCGCAGTCACAAAACTCCTTGTCATACATATTTTTAATCATAGTTTCTAGTTTGTCCCCATTGTTTGCAACTAATGATGATATGTGGACTATGGGTATAGGTCCTCTCACTGTCCATCCCAGCGGTGTTTTCGCCGCGAACAGATCATCTCTACCTCCGAATCTCTCTTCTTATACCTCGTGAGCTTCTGGCACACTACATCCAATGAGTATTCTCACTCTACCATCTTGCAGTGTTGAAAAGGGCATGTCACACAGGTGTGGCTTACCGACAACTGTTTCACGACTAGGTACTATAGCTTGGTCGAGTTTCATACTGGAGGTATTGTAAGCAGTATCTACTTCAACTGTTTCCCCAGTAGTCAACGATTCTAACTGGGATGACACTCGTTCACATACTACCGTTTTTGAAGAATTAAAAGTATTTACAACCAAGGGTTGCCTTGGACCCTTGGTACCCAAGCAACTAGCCAACTTAGCATCTATCAACGTAACGCCTGAACCGTAATCCAACGATGCATAAGTATCTACCGGAGATTTCGGTCCTTTCACCTTAACTGGTAATACCCCTAAATAAACTTGTGGGTTGTCAAGGGGTCTAGAGATACTATTACAATTAACCGAATTCCCCTGTTCGCTTACTATCCTCAGAAGTGGGTGCATATAAGATAAACCACTACTTCCTTTGCCTGTCGCCTTACACTTCAACTTTGTATGCCGAATCTTTAAACAACTGAAACACAGCCGCTTCTGTTTTGCCATTTTTAAACTTTCTATGGCGGACATAGCTCAATTGATGCGTGTTATGTCAAAAAATATACTCATCCTTTCTCTATGTGCTTTGGGCCTTGATCATAAATGCTTTGTTTGCATTCACTGCTTCATTAGGTTCTACCTTAGAATGAAAAATGCTGGTGAATTCGCCCATCGCCTGATTGACGCTGTCCTGTGCCAGTTTCAGAATACCATCGAACTTTGGCTCAATACCTTCAACCTCTATACAGGAGCTTATCTTCACCCATTTCCTTTACAGTCGAGTAGGTGGGCATCTCGCTATTACCCCTAGGACTGAACTTGAGTTCAGATCGCTCATGCAATTCATCGAAATCAGTGCATTCTTGTAAGTCAACAGATTATCCAGAAAATCAGTGAGTGCCTTGGAGTCATCTTGTAATTGACCACCATTACCCTTAACAGCCTCGAATAATTTCTCTACAATCATCGAAGGTTCTCCGAATCTTTGACACAGGATACGCTTCGCCTCAGTATGTCCTTCCTTTGGCTTCATAACCTTGCAGCACTGGATAGCTCTTGCAGCAACTCCAGTGCAGTGCCTCACCAAATACATCAACCTCATTTCATCATTTAATAAAAAACCACTCAACATGATCTCAAACTCCTTTACAAACTGCAAATAATCAGCTGGGTTTCCGTCGAAACACCAAGGTTCAAATTCAGGCCTATTATACCTAGACTGCGAAACATGAACAACAGACTCATCATGATGAGTATCATACTTATCATTACAATTAACTAGCAACTCATCATTACTTACTTTCCTGCTTGCTTTCAACGCGCGTCGTCCCTCCTTTGACCCAGGTATCATTGAACTTGACCAAAAATTCCAGAAAAGTTCCAGACAACACTTGTCCAAAGAAGACTGGCAGGCACCAGAAAAGATGAACAGAAACTATCCAAAACTATCAGAAACTGTCAGCCAACTCTCATAAACTGTCAATGTCCAGCTCTTGCTACGCTGGAACTCACGCTGTCCCTCGAAGACTTTCAGAAGCGCTTTGCATTAACCAACGTGAAAACCAGAACACAGATTGACGACTCGAGAATCCTGTATTCTTACGCCAATATGTGACCAACAATAAGGTCATTATTCAAAAGGTCTAAGAATAAATGTTATAACAATAAATCACGATAACACTTCTGATTGTTTTTTTTATTTACCCCGATCAGGGAACGATGAGACAATGCCTGCCAAATTGATGACCTGCCTGAAATATGGAGGAGTTGATAATTCTCGCGAGAAATAAAGAGTTGTGTTTGAGCAAACAACCATGAATTGATCGTTCAATCTTCATCTATATTGACATTCCGGTGGGTCGCCAATCGTTGCTATCTTATTTCGGTACCATATGCAGTGTGGATGCCCGTGAACTATTCGATGTTCGAATGATGCCAAAGGTGAGCACATAGTCGAACTCATTTCTAGCGAGTCTTAGTTTGTCTGTCACAATTTGTCGTCCTTTAGATGTCACGGGCTGTCCTGAGGTTATGATATGGTGCATACCATTGCTGGTTATCCGCGATAGATCGTTAGGGGGCAATTTAGTTGCGGATATTTATCAACAATCGGTTGGAAAGTTGGATCAAGGATTGTCCTCATCTTAACGAGCGACAAGCTGGGGCCTGTGATGCCTTTGATTGGCAGACTGGTGTTAATGTCAATCAGTCGTTTTCGGCGGACGTCTACGAGGAAATCATGATGATTAAGTAGGTCCCTGCCAATGATGGGCCTTGTGACGTCAGCGAGAAGGAAAATCCATTGAATAGGTTTGCGAAAACCTACGTTCAGATAGGCGTATTTCCTACCAAAAGTTGCAATTAGTTTCCCGCTTGCAGCCTGTAGGCTGAAGGTAGGTTCCTTCTGTCGATCTGCTGCTGTAGCAGGAAGGACGCTGACTTCGGCGCCTGTGTCGACGAAATATTGAGTCTGGCTGATCACATCATGGATGTGAAGAAGGCGGCTAGTGCCACCGGCGACGGTTGACGCTAACGCGTGCCGACGGGATAGTTTCCCACAGACTTTGAGACATTGCTGAAATTGCGAAGTTTTTGGCAACATTTCGCTTCCTGATCATAGGTGTTGCGATACCAGCACCAGTAAGGGTTTTTCAGTGGACGTGGCTTGGACTTAGATCGGCCACGTGAGTTACACCGTTGAGGGGAGTTCAGACGACGGTAGGAGGAATCGCAAGGTATGTTTGACCTAAGCATCTGCTGCATGAAGTTTCGTAACTCTATCACTGCATTGTCCCTACTCAAAATCTGTTTGGCCACCGAGCATATTTCAGGAACTGACCGTTTAGTTATTTATATAATCTTATCTGCAGAGATAGGTGAGTCATCTGTAATAACACTCTGAAGTGTCACAAGTACACTCTGCACGGACTGTAGCAGCTTGGATAAGAAGAGTTCTCTGAAACGTCCTTCATCAAACTGACTTTTGCCAATAACCTCTCTCATTCTTGTCAGCATGCTCGCGGCTGACTGTTCCCTAACTTGATATTACGAAATAATTCGTTTGGACGCTGTCGATCCGTGAGAACGTTCCTCCTGAGGGGGGATGCTTTGAGCAACTTTAGGAGTTACCTACCTCAGAACTCGACATCTGCACAGTTACGCACTTGCTGAATTCCCATGGTAGGGCATGAATAACTGCGAGGAACTGTGAACATTGATCGGTCATCCCATGCTAAAAAAGTCATACTCAGCTATCTGAAACCACGTTTCAGCATTATCGGGCCAATATGGTACGAGTTGAATGGTTTTGGCAGTTGAGCGAATACGAATGATCTTGGGACTAGGGTGACTCATGACGAAATGTATGCTAATTACAGTACAGTACAAGAACAAATACAGAAAGGAACGAACTCACCGGGTTTATTTGCGTATTTATCGAAGATGAAGTTCGCGGTTGGGCTCACCAGTTTAGAGGCTGACGGTATTGACGTTCGCCAATTGTATGGAGTATACTAACGCAAGATATTTTACCAACAACTTCTATAGTATTTGTTTCTCGTGGATCAAAGGCAAGGCAAACGGCAGTATTCGATCGTCGAAACTACGAGATATATTTCGGGACCAAATCGTGGACTGAAGCGGAAGCTAAGCTGGCTGGTGACCGTGCACAAACGTAACACGAAGGAGTGCAAATGGCATGGGTGCTTGACCGGAAGCCTTCAGCTAAACAAACCAACTTGAACAGTGAGGGTCAGCATCCAATGTTCATTGATGATTGCTGTGGTCAATAATTTTGGGGGATTATTTGCCGCTACAAATCACAATGCGCGCATGCAGCTATTGATCTATTGATCTCCATCAGAGAAACCGCATCAAGCTTGTGCAAATATATTTAATCCAGTCAAGAATTCCCTGGAGATACGTAGAATCCTCCCACGAATTTTTAGACAAACAAGGCAAAACAACGTTGAGAAAAGATAGGGAAAAATCCAATTGACACATGATGGCACATGATGAGAGACGGTAAGCAAGACCATACTAACATAAAATCAACGAAAAAAGAAGAAACAAATACATCAATCCCACCAAAAATCAATAACACAAAATAGCGACGTGGAGACGTGAGTCAAGTCCCAAGCGCAGAACACTCATACCTAGAACCATAAAAGGCAGTTTACGCATAATGAGTAAGTGCCGACTGAATGAATTCCCAATAATGCCTTAGACGTCTCGTATATTAGGTCAGTTTATCAAACCTGCCGTTACTGAATATCAGATTTAAACGTCAAAATTTTGCGATGAAGTTGGAGAAAATCCTCTCCCAGTATATTAGATTCTAACACTTTGAAGTCACAGTCCTCAGTTTTCCTTTTAAAGGGTGGTTCCAGGTATTTTCGACATAGAACCCAAGTAAATTTCAGGTCATTCATTTTGCCGAACGGAGTTGAATTCAATGATAAGGCGAGCACAAAAAAATCGAATTGGTTTATACTAGTTCGTAAAAATGATATTGTATATTGGTAGGGCCGAAGTTCGCCGGCCCTTTTGGTCTCTAGGTCACTTCCCAGCTAACCGGGGTGAAGATGAATGTCCGGAATGCAAGGGTAGTTCTCATTAACCTGCTTAACTTACATATTTTCCGTAGCCGAATGACTTATTGAATATGAGGGACTGCAACCTAGACTGTTTGCCTGAAAATTACCAGATGAAATACTACTTTTATCATGGGCTATCGTGGCCCCAACTCTCCTACGTTGCAGAAACTGATAATGGAGAGATAGTTGGCTATGTCCTGGCTAAAATGTAGGTTACTTACACTTGTGTTATTTGTTAGGGAAGAAGACCCAGAGGATGTTCCATATGGACACATTACATCTTTGGCTGTTAAACGCCCATACCGACGTCTGGGTATTGCTCAAACCCTAATGAATCTTGCATCACGAGCCATGGTAGAGAACTTTCACGCCAGATATGTCTCTTTGCACGTTCGGAAAAGTAACAGAGCTGCGCTAACGTTATACAAGAAGACACTACAATTTGTGTAGGCATCTTTTTGTCTAGCTTTCGTTTACCTCTTTAGAGTTTCAGATATCGAACCTAAATATTATGCAGACGGTGAGGATGCTTATGCTATGAAGAGAGATCTTAAAACATTATGGGATAAGGTATGAATGTTCGTTTCATTAACATAGTACCTTAGTACGGCCCTGCTGATGTTCCTTTTAAAGAAACAAAGGGAAAAAACGCTCAATAAAACCCTGACCAATAAATTTATACTTTCAAAGTGTATTTTGTGCTCATTTCAAAGGGAATGGTGCTAAGTTTACTATTTGATAGTGCACAGGATGAATATTTTCGCATAATGAATTTACAGCCTGATCTTGGTTCCATCAGTATGTGTAACTCCCTGTATTACGGCTGTTGGACAAAATGTTCAGGATAAAACCGATTGATATTGGTGAGGTAGTTGAGCACCTATCGAAAAGTCATACCGCTGTTGTGTGGTTGGTAGTCGATGAAATCCCACGACAAACAATACTCAGTTTGTTTACTGATAATAATAAAGCGAGTGATATGATAAGATTTGAGACATGCAATCAAACAAAAATCCCTACAAAACCAATACTTCAAAACATATGTCTACCTGTCTGTTTACCCATTATATTACCATTCACTGTTTTGCAGTAACTTGAACCTACATGGCTGCGTAGGAGTTTTCTACTTTGGTGTCTGTCTCACCCTTGTCTTTCTAGCAGTGACCATATCCAGTGCAACTACCATGTAAGGACTGTTGTTTTGGAAAGAGGATTGGGCTTTTCGGTGAAATTGTAAAGTGATATTGGTCTTTATAGATAGAAAATGTATTATACATACCCATCAGTTGTGTGCCTCGACATTCACTGTCAATTTAAGTACGGTTAGTGTCAAAAAACAGTGGATGACTATGTAGACGAATAATAGATATACTTCGTGTTAGTAACTGTTTCCTTGAAGCATTTTCAGGAACATGTGCCTCCTGGTTGGCATTCATGAGATGAAGGAAACTAGGGCTGTATAACTCATGGTAATATGGTTTGATATGGGCTGTGTATGCACGGAAACACTTATGTGTCTAATTAAATGCTGTATCTTCCTAGTATTTATCTTATCCTTTGTGCAACTGTCTGAATGAGACCCTTTCCCTTCGGATTCTTTCTATATTTTCTGTACTATTCCTGTCACTCTTGGAACTTGACATTCTCCCCGTAGTCGTTATTTGTTTTCCCGCGGATATTCGGTGGAGTCAGTGTATTTAGTTATTGTTTGCTCTTCCGTTTTTTCTTGTTAGTGTGGTCTTTCTTATCAGCTCCACTCATTTGCCATCGGGTGTTATTTGTAATTTTTCTCAATATTTTTTCGATGTTGTTTTACGTTGTTTGCTTTATAAGTCATGAGAGAATTCTTTGTATCACCAGGGAAGGTTGACACGCTTTCTTTCAACACTATCACTCGCTGCCTGCATATATTCATTATAATTCTTTAATTTTTCTTCGAACATTGGTTGTTTTGTACGGATTTAGTTTGATTGGTTGTAAAATTTCGTCACTAGATGACATTGGTTATGGAACTATTGTAAAACCTGCAGGGAGTTCTGCACAGTTGTTTCGTCTTAGTTTGGCACTCCTTAGGAGTACACACCCACCAGGTTTCGAACCCATGACCTTCTTGTTAGTAGTCCAGCTCTTAGACCATTAAGCCACTGGGACCCGGTCCACTGGCCGACCCATGAATTCTAACTTCCGCGAATTTACAACATAACGTGACCACTTCGCAACGTCTACTTCGATGAGGCACTTTCTCACCTTCAATCTGTTGCACACTGTTGGTCACGTCTTCCCACTACAACTCCAGGTCACTGTCTGAATGGAGCAACTTTCTAGTGAGCATCTTCAGTCTCTGTTTAATTGAACCTGATGGAGGGCCATTATTTCTGTGGCCACTTAGTTATATGAACCAAATGTAATGGTCGAATTTCTCTTGATAGAATACTAGGACTCTATTTTCCTTGACTTAATAATTTCAACGGCCCTACTTATTAGTAAAACTCGACGTAGTCACCTTGTCAAGGGATGAGAAGAAATATAGACTTGACTCTGCTAACACCTGGCACTAACAATATGCATATTGGTTTGAAATTGGGAGCACTGTTATGTTTAGAAATTTCACTGAAATTGATTGTGTGGAGGCACAGGAAAGGGTGTTTTCCTCACGTATTTGCGAAAGCTTTTCCCATTTAGCATCTACCAAGTACGATTTAGATGTAATACTGGCGATCCTTCACTTATTGTAACAAGTTATTACCATTTATATCGATGTCGTTTTTTGCTCACTGGGATGGTTAAAATTTAGTATCTCCTTTATTTGAGAAGTCGACCTTTTTAGAGATGTGAGAGAAGCGTCGGGCATATCCATCAACGACAGTTTAGGATGTTAGGGCTTATTACCGTTGGAATAGAAGTATTCAGGTGTGACTAGATTTGTTTACTGACACGAAAACTGTGATGTGTGAAGCAAACAAATAGACAATTTCTGCTGTGACTTTTCTCGAAGGAAAGGGGCGCGGACCTCTCTGGCACTTTATAGTAGGATTGAAATTGAGAGACTTCGGTCCAAATAGTGACTGGACACTTCCTGCAATTCGTATTACAAAAATGAAGAATAACCAGGTGTAGGGAGTCAGTGAAATTAGGGGGACCATTTGCTCCTCAGGTATTCCATCTCTGTTGACTGACTTGTTTATTTATGTTGTCCAGTAACGCAGGAAAGAATCCAGGCGAAACTTTGTTTGAAGGTATAGGATCGTAGTGGTCGAATTTTGAGCTAGTTGTTTATTTATGCTTTCATTTTTGGTGAACATTGGGTGGACTTTCATTTGAGTTTATTATTCTGGGCGTTTCACTCTTCACCATTTTATTCTCCGCGTGCGTCGGTGGTTCAGTGATAGAGTACTCGCCAACTACGCACGTTGTCTGGGGTTCTGCTCTCGACCGACCCACCCCCAAAATTTCACTTATCCGGTTAATAAGCCAATTCAAGAGATAACGTTGGGCATGAGGTGACAACCCCCCCCCCCACACACACACCGTATAAAAGACACTACCACTTGCGAAGCTTAGGCTTGACGTCCCATGTTCCGCTTGAAACGCAAAAGAAAGCTGTTTATCTAACGAAACCAGAAAGACTTTTAAAATCACTGTCTAACTGTTTATATCATCCAGTAGAGTCTTCCTATGACTAATAACAGTGTATTTGATATTCTCGCTAGATATTATTTTATTTGCTGGCTGTTCAGCTTTCATAGCTTTTTAAGTCGGATATATATTAAAGACCTGCGATATCAATGCACACAGTAAGAGATGTTACTTGAGGTTAGGTAAGTGAATGAAAAATATGATTCCCATGTAGAGAGTGCAAGCGTGATACAAGAAACGCAACTTTTGTTAATTTACTAATCATGACGACTGTTTACAGTGCTGAGCGCAAAACTGAGTCAGCACTGTTATCAAACCTGTGATTTTAATTTAGTGCATTTAAAAGATCTGATGATGCTAACTAGTAATAATCTAATTTTCCTTAATAGGTATTAAATGACTTGAAGATATGTTATATAAGTAGCTATGCCAGCTAAAGCGATGGACTTCATACAAGAGCTGACTGTCCTCATAAAGTTGGAAATTTAGGATGTCAGCTACGTGTATAATTGCATACTAATTGAAAGGAAATTTTACTCAACAACCGCCTGCAATTCCATAGAGTTGCCAATGAGTCATACCTATTTCACGACAGCTAGGAATACTACCTGGCTGTCTAAAGCCCGATAGACCGAACGTGATTGTAACCTGTGACCTATTGTTGACTGAAGTTGATAGACTAAATGAGCCACAACTTCATTGTGTCATTTGAAGTTGAAGGTAAATCTATGTCACATCAAGCTTTAGTCTAGCTATCTACAGATTCGTAACTTGATGCCCTGTTGACGGAATTGTGAGATTCGATGGCCGCCCAGATAATAAGTATGTTTTCGTCACCGGTTATGTGATGAAGGTGGTCGAATAACTAGGTGGTACCCTCGTTAGAATACGATGTTGTTTGTCTAAGTCCTATTGTAAATTGGTTATTTGTTTTAATTGGAGTCATGTCTTCAGTACATGAAGGTAACTTGTCAAACTAACGACATGTGAATAGTCTACGCAATCATATATCTGCTTTCAATGAAATTGCATCACTTGTTTGATCTCATTCCAAAACTGACGCAGTCATTTTTCGTGTTTGCCAATCACGCTACTTCCGAGTAGTCTACATTTATCTGAGATATTTTCATCAAAATTTTCCAATGTTGAAGTTCAATTCATTATCCGGTGTGCCGCGGAAAGTCAATCAAACACATTGAATTATTGGTCTTCATAGACTTGAATTAATTTTTTTTCAAAATACTTTTAAGCATTCATAAATTGTAATGTTTTAAATGCGCGGATCACAACCTATTTCTAGCTAGCACCAACTTCCGGCACAGCCATCGCCGTAGCTCTACCTGGCGTCCTCCCTCTGCGAAGCAAGCTTGGACTCAGATTGATCATATCGCGGTCAGTTTCCGGTGGCGAGGATGCATACAAGACTGTCGCTCCTTCTGGAGCACATGCCTGGACTCCGATCATGCGTTAGTGTGTGCCAAGTTCGTCTTGCGATTTGGTGGGGTTCGTAAAAGCCGTCGTATAAATGTTGATGTAGCACCTGCTACTTCTTTGAAATATCAGAATGAGTTAAAAACAATGCTTGCCAGCAACCCCCCAAGTAGTATAGATGAACATTGGCTTCATGTGCAAGGTGCCATGCAAAAGGCGAGTGTAGCCGCTTGCGGCTTGAAAGAATGCTCCGCTAAAAACCACTGGGTTTCTGCGAGTTCCTTGCAACTCCTGGATGAACGCCGGTCCATTCCGGCTGGCAGCGAATACAACAATCAGCGAAAGGCGCTCACGCGCAAGATTAGACAGTGTTTACGTAAGGACCGCGAAGCCTGGTGGTCAGAACGTGCGTGTGAGATGGAGTCAGCTGCTGCATCTGGCAACAGTCGGAAGCTGTTCCAACTCATACGAGCCACCGGCAGCAAGAAACAAGGTGTCAGCGAGACGGTCTGTGAGGCAGATGGCACTCCAATTACCAGCCTGAAAAGACGCCTGGAACGCTGGGCAGAGCACTTCGGGAAGCAGTTCAGCTGGCCACCAGCTTCAGTGTCTACTATCATTAGCCCGAGTGCTCCTTGGTCGGTTAGTACCGACCCACCCACCGAAGCGGAGGTCCGTAAGGAACTCCAAGTTCTGAAACGCCATAAGGCGCCCGGCCCAGACAAATTACCCCCGGCTCTTTTTAAAGATGGTGGCGAGACTCTCACAATGGCTCTAACTGGGTTGTTCAGGAAGGTGTGGGAGACAGAGAGTGTGCCATCAATGTGGAACGAAGCCATTATCGTCCCCATCTTTAAAAAGGGTCGACGTAATTCGTGTGACAATCATAGGGGTATCAGTCTGTTACCAGTCGCGTCTAAAATACTGGCTGCTGTCTTGCTTCGCAGACTGTGCAAAATACGTGAAGGATTGATTCGCGAAGAGCAGGCTGGGTTTCGTTCAGGTCGTGGATGCATTGATCAGGTGTTCACCCTTCGTCAGTTGTTGGAACACCGCCACACGTATTGCAGGCCAACGATCGTTGTGTTTCTTGATATTAGGGCTGCCTTCGATTCGTTGGACAGAACTGTGCTCTGGAACTGTCTGTTAGAGAGAGGTGTACCTGAGAAATTTGTTAACATCCTGAAAGCCCTATACAGAAACACCTCAGGTAGAGTGAGGGCATACAACCAACTATCACCACTGTTCCCAACCAACAGTGGGGTTAGACAGGGTTGCCCAATCTCTCCGTTTCTCTTTAACTTTGCCATCGATGACATTCTGGAGTCAGCTCTGAAGGATGTGCGTGAAGGTGGTGTAGATCTGCTACCTGGAGATAGACTTTTCGACCTCGAGTATGCAGACGATATCGTCTTACTGTGCGATAGCATGCAGGCTGCCCAAATCGCACTTAATCAGTTGGCGATCAGTGTCTGTAAGTATGGTATGTGCTTTGCGCCGTCTAAGTGCAAAGTACTGTTACAAGATTGGCAGGAGCCTGTACCTGCACTCACTCTTGCGGGTGAACCGCTTGAAGTTGTTGATAAGTTTGTGTACCTGGGTAGTTGTGTGAGTGCTGGCGGAGGGGTGACGGATGAGATTTCCAACCGTATAATGAAGGCTAGGGTGGCATACATCAACTTGAGCCACCTCTGGCGCCGTCGCGACGTTAGCCTGGCTGTCAAAGGTCGGGTATACAATGCTTCGGTGCGAGCTGTCCTGCTCTACGCCTGTGAAACCTGGCCTCTCCGAGCTGAGGATGTGCGGCGACTCTGCGTGTTCGATCACCGCTGTCTCCGCAGGATTGCTTGCGTTCGATGGCATCATCGCGTGAGTAATTCTGAGGTTCGGCGGCGTGTGTTTGAACAAAGTGGAGATCACTATTCCTTGAATGTCGTCATCTGGAAACACCGGCTCCGGTGGCTTGGACATGTGCTCCGAATGTCACCCCAGAGGCTTCCGTACAGGTCTCTGTTCGCTAGCCCTGGGACGGGATGGAAAAGGCGGAGAGGTGGTCAGTCCATGACGTGGCGTCGTGGGATGAAGGATTTTTGTGCTAGATTAGCATCGGTTGGTGTGTCACGACTCCCTGGTTGGGGTCCGA